GGTTACTGATTTGAGATCCTTTTTCTTTTTTTTTTTAAGACAAGGCCTCACTTTGTAGTTCATTCAGGTTGCCCTTGAACGCACAGCAATCCTCCTGCCTCAGCCTCCCAAGTGCTGAGATTGCAGGCATATGCCACCCCAGACAGCCAAATCCTCCTTTTCTAATGCACAAATTTTAAAATATGAATTTCCCTCTGAGCACTACTTCTACAGCAGCTTGCAAATTTTGTAACATTGTGCTTTTAATTCATTTTACTTTCTTCCCTTGTGCTTTCTTCTTTGACCTACTGGTTGTTTAAAATTGTATTAATTTACACATATTTAACAAATGTTCACCTTTTCTTCTGCTTTTGATTCCTAGTTTCAATCCACTGTTGTCAGATATTTTTTATGGTTTCAATATTTTAAAACATTCATTGAGGTTTATTTTATAGATTAACAAATGGTCTATCATGGAGAATGGTCCATATGTACTAGAGAAAAATTAGTATGTCTTCTCAATGAACTGATCCTTTTGTTGGCATACTATGTTTCTTTTAACAGTTTTTGTATTACTCCCTACTTTGAGATATCCACTCCAGCGTCCATCTTTCTTTTGTGTGATATATCTTTTTCATCCTTTCTCACATTTAACCTATTTGAATCTTAAGATCTTAAATGAGGATTTTTGTTGTTTTTGTTGTTTCATTTGGGGGAGTTGAGACAGTGTTTCACTATGTAGTTCAGGCTGGTTTTGAACTCACCATGTACCCTAGCTGGCTTTGAACTCATGGCACTCCTATCTCAGCCTCAAAGGTCTAAAATAAGTTTCTCATAGATAGCATACAATTGGATTTTTAAAATCCACTCTGCCAGTCTCTGCCTTTTAATCGGAGAGTTCAACCCACTTACATTTAATTACTAATACTTTTGCTTTGTTTTCTATATGTCATATATTTTTCTTCTCCAATTCCTCCATTATTGCTCTTTGTGTATTTAATTTATCTTTTTGTAGGTTATCATTTTTATTTCTTCTGATTTCCTTTCTGTGGAGGCTGGGGTTGTTTTGCTTTGTTTCTGCAATACTGGATATTGAATTTAGTAGGCTCCCTACTGTACTGAGAAACACTAGAATCTAATCCTAACAGTACTGTATTTAGGTGGCTGCTTTCCAACTTCCCCTCATTCTGTCTGCTCCTACCCTTTCCAGCCTCTAGTAATCTCTATGCTATTCTCTGACATCAATTTTTTTTAGCCTGGTTCATTGTGTATCTCATGAAATTTGTTGTTCACAAAAGCAGTACCATGTGGACTCTGCATGCTTCAAGTGTTAATCTGGGTATTCCACCACCCAAATGTCTCTAATACCAGATTATGATGACCCTAAACCTTTACATCACCAAGAAGGAAATGTGCTTTTTACTCTAAATGAAGATACACAAAGTAATTTTAACGCTTTTATTATAAAATAAAATACACATATACAGCCACATATAACCTAATGAATTATTGCAAGACCAACATCCCTCTCATTACTATCCAGGTCAAGAAGAATTTTTCCAGACATTCTCCAAGTGCAACATCTCAGTCCTCACAAAAATTAACCATTATTCAGACATTATAGTAACCACTTCCTTGCATTTCTTTATATTTATTTATTTATGGTTTTTTGTTTTTTGGTTTTGGTTTTGGATTTTTGTGGGGTTTTTGGGGGGGAGGTGGTACCAGGGATCGAACTCAGGTCCTTGAGCTTGAGAAGCAGGTGGCAACACCACTGAGCTAAATCCCTGGCCCTATATTTATTTTTAATATTTATTTATTTACTTTTAGGTTTTTTTGAGAAAGGATCTTACTCTAATTCAGGCTGGCCTTAAACTCACTATGAAGCCCAGGCTGGCCTTGAACTCACAGCGATCCTCCTGCCTCAGCCTCCCAAGTGCTAGATTATAGACATGTGCTACTCTGCCTGGCAAATTTCTTTCTATTTAGAAACTCATGTATGTATCTCTACAACTAGTAGTTTAGTTTTGCTCTTTTATAATTTAAAATTTTCATCTTTTTAAAGTCTCCCATTTCCTTTTTCATTTTCTTACAATTTGTTAAAGAAAAAAGTAGTGTAGACTATTCCAGTCTGGATTTTGTTGAATGTACAATCCTCCTATTTCCTGAAAATAGGCAGCTGATTCCAAAAGCTGTGTGATTCAGGTTCAATCTCTACAAAGAGATAGCTGCTGTTCCAATAGTTTGTCTTTCTTTCAATGCCGAGATTCATTACCTGACTGGGAATTTTTGGTTTTTTTAATGATGATATTCTATCGGTTTTTTCACTTGTTTACTGAGATACTTCATAAAGATATGAACACTGAGAAACCACACATGGTAGGTGACCTTTCAGGGTTACAGCACATCTTTGAAAGGTCAGTAAAGGTTGATTCTTTTGCTTAATTTATATTTCAAGATAAAGAATCAGATCCTTGTCACCCTCCAAGAGTGGCCACTTAGGTTTGTGTTTTGTCTTGTTTTGTTTTGGAAAGCATTATAACCTCATAGGTTATGTGATGAGTTCCAGTCCATAGCAATTGTTATCTTCCATGAACCTCAAATTGTCCCATCTTGAGCCAGTAGAAGAATCTTCATTTGTCTCCTGCATCCACAGTGGTCTGTAATAGCTTCCTTGTTATATATGTGATAAGATATTCACATCTCATCTGGTATACATTTCTTGTCTTAGACCTGAAACTAGTTATTTCTCTAAGAAGCTCTGGTTTCTTTTAGTGAGAAATGGTCCTGCAACATTACATTACGGGCACTAAGAATGCATGATATCTAACTTGATCAATATTTAAGGTCATTTAATGATTAAAATAAAATAACTTAGTTTATGATGATACTTCCAACTTAAAAGTGGAACTACAGGGTTTTAACTTTGTCAGTAAATCTGTTTCTCCTTTCTTCCATGAACTCCCTAGTTCTAAAGAACACAGGAGACAGAAATTAACTATTTTGGGCTTGGAATGTAGCTCAGTCATACAGTGCTTGGTTAGCATACATGAGGCCCTGGGTTCAATCCCCAGCACTAAGGTGGTAGGGAGAAAAAGAAACAATTATCAAAGTACCCATGTGCTTTATCCCAAATTACCCATACAGCAGTTCCAAAATAACATGACTAGTAGTTTCACTACTAATTTGATTACTAAAAATGGCTTAAAAGTTGTGCACTGGCTTTCCCCACTGTCTCATTTTTAATCATACCATAATGTCTCTATTGTCAGAGGATACATTCATTATATTTTCCATTACACCACAATTATTATTAGTTTTACAAACAACTATGTATTTAATATTCATCATCAGAGGCATTAATATTGATGTTTCTCTAGTAATTTTGGTTGGCTGCCACCTCGTTTTTATTAGGTTCCTAAGGAAGGGGCTCATGGGAAGACTATTCCCCAAATATTTGAATGTCAATGACAGTTTTTGCCCTTTATATTTGAAAGTCAGTTTTGCTAATCCAAAATTCATGGTTCACATTTTCTTTGCTGAATACATTAAATGTGTTTCTCCATAGTATTTCAGCATAAAGTACTACGATAGTAAAGTCTTATGATAATTCTCTTCTGTTTATAAGCTACATTGCCTAGATGATTATAGTTTCCTCTACTCCTTTTCCTTGAAAATCCAACAATTTTACTAGGATGTTTTGGTGTTAGTTATTCTAAGTCCATATTTTCAGGTACACAATGTACACTTTCAACATACAGTTTCATATCTTTTATGTCAGGTAATGTTTCCATATGATAGATTTTAGTATTTGCTCTGTTTCAAATCCAGCATTCCTATTATCACTACACTGGATATTTTTTCCATTAACAATATTCATCCTTAAAAAAAAATCTCCATTTAATCCTGCATTGTATCTCTTAGCTATTTTCTGTTAGGTTTAATTGTTCTTGGTCTGCTTTAGTCTTCATTTCTAAAATTATTTTTCTTACATTTCTCATTTTTTCTTAAGATTTATCACTTCATTTTTTAATTTTTTAACTTGATTATTTTCTTAAATATTTACCTTGTTAAATCACATGCTACAGTTTCATCTGTTTGTAATGGGCTTTCATTATCCATAAGGAGAAGATTCTCCACCTCTTTTTGTTTTGTTTTGTTTCTTATAATGAGCTTGTATGCTGCTTTACCTGCATCCTTTTCTATTGCATTTTAAAAATAAGAAATTGGTTTACCTGAACTTTTAGAAGAAAATGTGGTTCTAACTTCACTGAGCTTTCTTCTGTCTTCTTGTTACATTTTAAAATGTAGTGACTTGGGCTGGGGATTTAGCTCAGTAGTTCTGCTGCCTGCTGCACAAGGACCCAAGTTCAATCCCCGGTACCAAAAAAATAAAATAAAATAATTTTTAAAATGTAGTGACTTGATTTTAGAGGTACCTGGTTCTGTTCCAGCTCCATCAGAAACTTCTGTACACCCACTAGTGGCTTAGGAAACACCAAGCCCAATGCCAACTGCTGTTCTCATATCCACCCTTCATGCTTTCCAGTGAATACTCAGACTTCCTTCTGCTTCCTCCCCACACAGGCTGATACCATCCATGCCTTTTTTATAGACCTTAGTGACTCTTTGTGCTGTGAACGCTACCATGAGTTTTTTGTTTTGTCCTCTAGTTGCTGTTTTTAGGAGAAAATTCAGTCAGACTTAAAAGCATGTTACCTCAGCTGCTTCTGCCACCTGCCAGACCTTGGAGTATGTTTTTAAAGGATATGACAGTTTCCCTTTCTTCCTTTCTTTTCTTTCTTTCTTTTGAGACAGGGTCTCACTGTGTAGTTCAGACTGTTCTTAAATTTACTACGGAGCCCAGCTTGGCCTCAAACTATTAGTGATCCTGTCTCAGCCTCCCTGGTGCAGGGATTACAATCATGAAAATTCTATGGAAAATTTCTTGAAACAAAATACTTTCAAAACCTCACAACTTTTTTCAGAATAAAACAAATAAAACAGAAAAAAATGCTTACCTCAAAAAGCCTGAACAAGCGGTATCTTATTTTATAATCAGTCCATAAGACCATAAAAAACGCATTCATTGAGATGGTGCTAATCATGATTATCTTAAAGAGACGACTCGTTGTGACTCTCTTCACAAATGCTTGACATTGTTCATCTTTCCTCCTGTCGAAAAGGTAAATAAGAGGTAATTTAGCCAGGCAGGGTGGCACACTCCTGTAATCCCAGCACTCGGAAGGCTGAGGCAGGAGGATCACTGTGAGTGCGAGACCAGCCTGGGCTACATAGTGAGTTCCAGGTCAGCCTCAACTACATAGTGAGACCCTGTCTCAAAAAACAAAAAACAAACAAGCAAAAAGAGGTATGTTACCACATGACAGATCTAGAGTCCCCCACAATAAATATTTTTTTTTTTTTTTGGTAGGGACAGGCGTCTGTCGATATAAATTGACACATACTTTTAAATAGCAATAAATTAAATATGCATGATGATCATGCAAAGCCTGTTCCCATTCAGTTCCCTCTCCCTGAGCCTATGAAAAAGAATGGCCACGCTTTTGCAAGCCAAAATAAAAATCATCATTTACTTATTCAACATATTTTTATTGCATAACTACTATATGCAGACTGTGGCACTGGGGATGCAATGTGAACAAATTAAATATGATCAGTCTGGTAGGAAAAACTGATAAGAATCAAATGATCATCAATACAAATGCTACAAATCAATGATTTTTTTTAAAACACTGAACAGCCTAGGAGGAAATGGGCACATAATTCATGAAAGAAATACAAATGTCTAATACTTTCCCCAAAATATCAGGGGGATGCAAAGTAATACATTACTTTCATTTATAAAATTAGCAAAGACTTAAACATGGAAATATTTAATCCTGGCAACAGTAGAGTAGGGTAGGGCATTTTCAAAACCCACCAGGGAAATCTAAGTTGATCAGCTTCTTTAAAGAACACCAGAATTATTTGTTTCCTCTCTACCACAGAATCTATCCTGAGAATAGAATCTAAATGCAAACAGTAACTTTGGCTAGAGGTGTTTATCCCAGTATTAGTTACAATAGCAAGGATTTAAGCCAATTTAAATCTAACAAAAAGAACTTGTTGAATAAACTATGGTACATCTATCTCATGAAATACAGATACTAACATATGTCTATGTATTTTTAAATGTTTTGGGAAAATGTTTGATCTGGTAGAGAGCAAAATATAAAAGCAAATTAAAATTCAAAGTTTGCAGCTTTAAATTCTCACCTGTGCAAAAAAGGTTAGAAATAGCAGGAAATATGCTAAAATAGTAACACTGTCTGCCTAAGGATGATGAGGTTACAAGTCATTAACTTAACTACATTTATCTGTGCTTTACAAACTTTCTCAAATAATATTATTTTTCCTATTGCATGTAACAAACCCAGTCTTGTAAAGCTAAAAAAATATAGAATGTAACTGGGCATGCTGGTATGTGTTTGTAGTCCTGGCCACTCAGGAAACAGGAAGGAGGACTCGAGGCCAGTTCAAAACCAGCCTGGGCAACATAGCTACAACCCCCATCTCAAAACAAAATAAAATGACAGAATTATACACCTTTACAATCTATAAAGAGATGATGCACACTTTTCCTTGTCTGACTTGAGATAGGATCCATTTTTTTACAAGCCCTCAAATTGTTAATACAGTATCCAATAGAAAAAGATAGTACTGAGTTAAACTAGTTGTTCAGTCTGTGGGTCAGTAACAGTGTGCCAACTTCACCAGGACTGCCAGGGAAACTAGACTGCCATCTGAGAAGCAGCTGTGTCTGTGGAAGAGACTGACACCCTGCCACTACAGTACCCTTCACACATTTCTTAACAGAGGACCAAAGAATATTTACTTAAATTTCCTGAATCTCTCATACAGCACATCTGATGCAATATCAAACAGTGAACTAGAAAAGACTTCTGAGGAGTCCTGTTGAAAGGGCTCAGACATTTTCCAATTTCTCAATTTTTATTCCTTGTTTTTATCACCCATCCGAAAGCTCTCTGCTTAGGGATTTCCTCAGCATCTGGATTCCAAGAGGCAGCAGAGAGGGCCCATGATGGAGCCTCTGCTTTATGAGGTCACTCTTGGGCATTCCATCAGTTACTCGTCTGCAGGTCCATCCTGCAGAGCTTTCAACAGCGCTATCCATGGATCCCTCTGCCCCAGGAGAATGGAGTTCCTCAGCTCCACAAGAGGGTTATGAGCACACAGTAATGGTAAAGCTCTGGGACACTAGGAGTCTCTACAGATGGGCTAGACAAAGGCCCACCTTTCTTCAAGAAGTGTCCCATCTGGTAGACAAAGGTCTTTAATAATGTGTTAGAAAAGTTAAAGGTCATGAAAGAGGAAAAAACAAAGTTCTCTGGGATTCTGAGAGTGAGAGAGAACACACATGCCAACACTAGAAATTCCTGAAAAAAAGGATTGTGATGGGTTTGGGGCTAAGACAAAAAGAAATAGGAAGAACACAGAAGATAACATAAGCCCTGCACTGGCTAACTTGGGGAGGGCACAGATGAACACATGAATCTTCTAAATGGAGCATAAAGGATGAACCTGAAGGCTAAATAGTATTTAAATACAAGAGTTACAGAGATTTTTTGCTCTGTACAGCTCTCAAAATTAACACACCCTCCTCCTAATCCCTCTGGCTTTCAAGGTAAATCAAGACAGAAATCTGCAAAGTTAGTATGTTGTATTAAGTGATTATATTGATCAATATAAGAAAATGCAATAATCTCTGCCTTCACTGTTTTCTTTTTTTTACATGAACTTTATTGGAACACTCGACATACATAATGATCACACCCATCACAGGGAATTTGCCTTATTTTTTTTGTTAAACCAGGGATCAAACTTGGGTCCTTGCATATGTGAGGCAGGTGGCAGAACCACTGAGCTAAGTCCCTGGCCCTTCGCAGGGAATTTGTACTATACATATCTTAATTCTTTTTTTCACATTCCCTTCTCTTCCCTTCAATTCTTCTTCCCCCTTTCTTTACAAACCTTTGTTTCTATTATTTTCCTTCTATTCTTCTTTCAATTTTTCATTCCTATTCCCTCCCTCCCCTTCCTCCCTCCCCTCTCCCTTGCTCTCCTTTCCATTTGAACATTTTCTTCCTACTTCCCAATATTTATCATCCATTTTGGTCCTTATTTATCCTTCCAGTTTCTCACATAGAGAAACAATACAATATTTAAATGTCTGATTTATTTCCCTTAAAATTACATTCTCAAGGTGCATTTACTCAGAAATGTCTCAAGTACATCCTTCTTTGTGGCAGTGTAGCACTCCATTGTATATAAAAAAACATTTTTGTAATCCATTCATCCATTAATGGGCATCTGGATGTTTCCAAGATTTAGATATTACAAACTGTATTGCTATAAACATGGATGTGTATATATCACTGTGGTGTGATCCTTTTAACTCTTTCAGGAAGATAACAAACAGGGTAATAGCTGGGTCAAATGGAACCACTAGTTTTAGTTTGTTGAAGAATCACCATACTGACCCCATGACTGTACCAGCTTACACTCCCACCAACACTTCCTTTTCCCCCACACCTCACCAGCATATACTATTGGTTGATTTTTTGATACCCATTCTTTCTGGAGGTGGAATCTCAGTGTTATTTCCATTTGGATTTTTCAAATGACCCATGATGTTAAACACTTTTTCACATATTTCCTATTTATATTTCATCTGAGAAATGCCTTTTCATTTCAGATACCCATTTTTGGATTGGGTCTTTAAATTTGGGGGGGTCTGTTTTTTTAGTTCTTCATATATTTTAGATATTAGTTCTTTGAAGAGTAGATGGTAAAAATTTGTCAACATTCTACAGGTTCTCTTCAGTTGGTAGTTTCTTTTGCTGTGCAAAACTTTTTAAATATGATGTGATCCCAGTTTTTTATCCTAATATTTTCTAAGAGATCAGGGTTTTATTATGCCTACACCTGTGTGTTCAAGAGTTTCACCTATTCTAACTTCCAGCAGATTATTTTATTTAATACTTAGATCTTTGATCCATTTAAATTTTAGTTTAGTGCATGGTGAGAGATATGTTTAGGTCCAATTTTTGGCATGTAGAAAGCTGGTTTCCAAGAACCTTTATTAAAGAGGCTTTCTTCCAGTGAAGGTGTTTGGCCCCTTTGTCAAAACAAGGTGGCAGAATGTGCTTAGAGTTGTATCTGCATCTTTCATTCGATTCCACTGATCCTCAGTTCTGCTTTTTGTCTTTGTCTTGCCATTATGATGCTGTTTTTATCAAAGTAGCTCTGTAATATAATTTCAGGTTGGGGATTATGATGCCCCCTGCCTTGACTTTGTTGCTCAGAATTGCTTTTGTTTTTCTAGGCATAAAATCCTAGATTTGTCTGTAAATAAAGTAGGTACTCCTGCTTTTTTCTGGATTCCTGTTGCATGAAGTATTGCTTTCCATCTTTTACCTTTCATGCTATGAATTTCTTTTGGAGTTTAATGTGTTTCTTGTATGAAGTATATTATTGGATCTTGTTTTTTGATCCATTCTGCTAATCTCTTTCTTTTGGTTGGTGAATTGAGACCATTTCATTGATGGTTATAATTGATATATATTGACTTATCCTTGTCATCTTATTTTCCTGTTGCTGGTTTCCTTCCTTTCCCTTTGTTTAACTGTTTGTCTTGCCTGATCAGTTCATTCTATTGGGATTCAGGGAATTGTTGTCTTATCTTTTTCTAGAATATCTTTCAGAAATTTCTGGAGTGCCTATTTGTTGTTCATTAATTTTTTCAGGTGTTGTTATGGAAGTAGCATTTCTTCAACTCTGAAAGATAATTTTGTAGGGTACCTTAATCTTGATTGGAGGTTATTTTCTTTTAGGGCTTGAAATACTTCCCTCCAAGCTCTCATTGACCTAAGAGTTTGAGTTGAGAAGTATGATGTGATTCTGATGGGTTTTCCTTTATAGGTAACTTGTTTCTTTTCTCTTTTAGTGCTCTGTTCTTGTGTTGGGTTTCTGAACTCTTGACTATTACATACCTTGGTGTAGTTTCTTTCTTTTTCTCATTGAGTTTATTGGTACATTTTAGGTATATGGTACAGTTACATTCATCATTGGAATCTTGTACCTTTACATGACAGGTCTTGGTTCTCATTTTTTCCCCTTACCCCTGCCCTCCCTTCACCCCCTCCTCCCTTCCCTATTTACAAATATGTTATTTCCATTTTTTCATTTTCTCATATTTTTTTCTTTTCCCTTATTTCCTTTCCCCTACCCATGCCACTTCCCCTACACCTTTAGCCCTTTTCTTCCTATTTTACATTGTCAATTATACCATTAGGATCTTATATACAGTTACAGTTTTTCACATCAGAGAAACTATTCGGTATTTACACATGTGACTTATTTCACTTGAGTATATTCTCAATATGCATCCATTTTCCTATGAATGACTCTAATTTCTCATTCTTTATGGCTGAGTAGTATTCTATTTTATAGAAAAACCACATCTTCTTTATCCAGTCTCCAACTGATAGGCAAATGGGCTGTTACCAAGTTTTAGCTATTACAAACTGTGCCGCTAAAACATAGGTGTGCATGTATCACTGTGATATGATTCTTTTAATTCTTTTGGAAAGATATCCAGCAGAGGGATGGCTAGGTCAAATGGAACCTCTAGCCCCAGCTCTTTAAGGTATCTCCATATTGATTTCCATAGTGGCTGCACCAGTCTGCACTCCCACCAACAATGGAGAAGGGTTCCTTTCTCCCCACAACCCTGACAACATTTGTTGTTGTTTAATTTCTTGATAGCAGCCATTCTTTGTGGAGGTGGAATCTCAGTATTGTTTTCATCTGCATCTCTTGAATGACCAGTGGTGTGGAACATTTTCTCATATATTTACTTGCTGCTTTTACTTCTTTGAGAAATGTCTGTTCATTTCAGATGCCCATTTTTGAATATGGTCTTTATATTTGAGGGTGCTGGTTGTTTTTAGTTCTTTATATATTCTAGATAAGAGCCCTTTGCAGAGCAGCTGGTAAAAATTTTTTCCCACATTGTAGGTTGTCTTTTAGCTCTGTTGTTTCTTTTGTAGTGCAGAAGCTTTTTAATGGTGAGATCACAGTTGTTGATTCTTCCGGCTAGTTCCCATGCTACTGAGGATTTGTTCAGTCTTTTCCTATGCCAATGTCTTCAAGAGTTCTGCCTAACTTATTTAGTGACTTTTTAAATATTTAGATCTTTAATCCACTTGGATTTTAGTTTAGTGCATGGTGAAAGATAAAGGTCTAGTTTTAATCTTTGGCAGCTTGAAATCCAGTTTTTCCAATACAATTTATTAAAGAGACTATCTTGCCTCCAGTGAGGATGGTTGGCTCCTTTGTCAAAGATGAGGTAGCTGAGTACATCTGGAGTTGTTTCTGTATCTTCCAATCTACTCCACTGATCCTCAGGTCTGTTTCTTTGCCAGTACCATGCTGTTTTTATCACACTGGCTGAAGTATCTAGGAATCAATCTAATGAAAGAAGCAAAAGACCTCTACACTAAAAACTATAGCACTCTGAAAAAAGAGATCAAAGAGAATATAAGAAAATGGAAATAAAATCCCCTGCTCCTGGGTAGGAAGAATCAACATAGTGAAAATGGCCATACTACCAAAACTGCTATACAGATTCAATGCAATGTCAATTGAAATTTCAACAGTATATTTCACAGAATTAGAAAAAAAATACAAAAATTCATTTGGAACCAGAAGAGAGCTAGACTAGCAAAAGCCATCCTAGGCAACAGAGACTTGGCAGTGGGTATAACAATTCCTGGTTTGAAACTATACTCGTGTATTTTTCTAATCATGGCTAATTGGAACTGTATGCTCTTATCTGTATGTCAAATTCTTTTCCCATGCTTGAGAAGTTTTCTGCTATTACTTCTGTGAATAAGCTTTTTAACATCCTTTTTGCTATCTTCAGATTTTTCATTGATTCTGATTAATCTTGTTATTCTTCTTTGCATCATCTAGTAGCTGTTGGATTGATTTGTGGTCTCCTGCAACTTTTAT